GCTATGATCGAAATGTCAAATGTCACCGACTATACAAATACATGTACATCCCAAATTCACGGTTTCAGTCCCCCACCCTCTCCCCACTCCAACCCCATACAGCGCAGTCCGCCTCAGCCTCCCCAACCTTCCAACAAACACAACCAAGAGACGTATAAAGCCACGTCTATGCACAACATTTGAAGTATACAATCACCATACTAATTAATAAATGTCACAGCACTAAAATGAACTCGACTAAAAAACAGAAACTATATGCAGGATAAAAACAAAAGGGTGTTTGTTTTAAATCGTCCCCAGTGAACGTAGCATATGATTTGAAATGAAGTGATTGCAGCGAATACATGTTGTATAGCTACATCGTACAGTATCGTTTAAATGGGTTACGTCTAGCTTCATAGTCATGCAAGACACACCCTCATCTTCCATACATGCAACATACAAACGACCGCGACATGACAGGTCGTTTAAAGGGGTTCGGTTTAAAGTCGGTTTTCTTTTCATAAAGAATTATTATTTTGAAGAAGTCAACGATTGGGAATGGGGAAGGGTGGTGTGGTGGTGTTTTCAAGTTTTTCAAAATTACAGACATACAAAATCAGCATATCCCTTTCATATATACTCAGTCCACAGTCTAAATAAAAACACAACAATAGTTCAAATATCATAGAAACGTGTCCCTGTGTGACAGAGGATAATAAAACACCAATCTTACCCGTTTTTGGGGCTCCGCCCTGTTCCGGCTCCCCCGGGATTTCTTGCTCGAAGGGAAACTCCTTGCTGTAGCATCCGAATCAATATCCGTAATACATGGGGAAGGACATTCACTACCCGGGAGTGACCGGGGAGGGGTTATCACTTCCCCACCCACCGGGGAACTGACAGGGGCTGTGGTATAATTTGCCCGGGATTTTAAATAATTCAAAGTTGTTGATTTCACATCACTTATTCCCGAGGACGATTTAAGGATGGATAATTCGACACCCGTTTTGACTCGAGGAGAGAGACGGTCGTTCATGACTGACGGTGGACCCGCTTTGTTTACATCCAGCACACCTGTTGTCCATTTCACTGACGATGTCGATTTTCTCGATCTGTCGGATCTATTAGAACACTTCCTGCTTAAATTATTAAAACTTTCCAATTTTTTGGGTGATTTAAAACTATCCAATTTGGGAGGTGAACTCGTGCGTAACTTATAAATATCACTACTCCCATTAGCCACGGCTACACTTCGGATTTCGGACATCATGATGATAGCGGGATAGTATTGACCATTACCAACTTGACCGCATCTACATATATCCTCTTCTTTGACCGTGCGCCAGATTAATACTAGAGTGACCACTGTCCAGTCAGTGGGACCTATTTACCTGTTATTCCAATAAAAGGCTTTTCTTGTTGTAAAAACATCTGACAAGTGAGGTATTATGTGTGTGTACATACACATGAGCACAAACACTCGACACTTTGACCATCGCGCCAAATGTAACAGAACGCTAGATGATGGTCAGTGGTCAGACAAGACCCCTAGGGAGTTACAAACCCCAGTATACACACACGGGGCTGAAATGTGATACGTGCCCGCGTCATTAACCATTGCACTGACCCGTAATCAAGGTTCCCCTTAGTGCGAGTGTATACTACACATGGTGTACTGAAATTGACATGTCTGTTGTTATTATCACGGAGTGGAACAGTAACATTACGGGTAGGTGAGGCGCCCGAGGGGCGATCTCAGGTATGTCAAACAAGTTGTTATCATATTACGGTAATAATGGCGAGGCTTCATATGGGGAAATTGACAATTAAAAAACATAAAAGTGCATCAATTTAAAATAAAGATTGATAAAGAGTGCAACGTAACAATCTATTTTTGGATGCCAATGTATCAACACATTCATTTAGAAAATGAGTATTTATAGGGGGTCGTTACAATCGCGTTTAACTGTTATATTACGGTAGGGGAAAGGCCCAACGGGGGAATGTAATCGCTGTTTATAACAACATAATCATTTGAGGTAAGAGGCTCCCAACGGGGTACCCCTGTACCAACGACAGAATTACAATAAGTATCTTCAGGCTATTTCAAGGAATTGATTTATCAAGCATGACGAAAAGTCGTATTTTAATCAATACAGTTTAAGTGGGTTTTTTAAGAGGCGTTCTTTATAAGGAAAATAAAACAACAGTGTACAAAGGTAAAAATCGATATAATATATTAAACATTTATAACGGTTGGCGATGCTTACGACTTCTGGGCGATAAAAACGTTTAGCGATCAATGCGTCCCCACCAGTCCCTTTCACCATACAATTGAAACTATTTGGATAAAAAGGGATTTTCTTTAAACCGTTATCGGCTGTTTATACAGACTCAGGATTAGGCTTTGCTTTTACTATGGAATGTAGTATATAATAGGCTTAATACCAGTCCCTACGTAAAATAGTTCATTCGCATACCTGACGCACAGCGACTCAATTCACCAAAAAACTTATGTTTATATCACTGACTTAGATAGCTAATCTAATCAAATATCTACATCTGATGTACGCTATGTCTCAATTAATGTACAAACCTGTATTTTTTTAAACACAAATCTGATATTCATTTGCACAGCCATCCTGATGTTTACAGCTATGAAGGCCAAGTTTACTCAAAGATATGATTAGAAGCATTCTCAATTTACACACAAACCTGATCTACAAAATCATGTTCTCTACATCAGAGAATAAGTCGATAAAATCGTCAACAAAATAAAGGTAACATGTTAGTAAATTACCAAATATATTAATAGCAACACATTGATTCATTCTACAAAATGCATAATTATTTAAGTAACAATAGAATGGAGGTTTTGAAAAAAATGAAGAATATACTTTTATCTTTTTTAGATTCATTCTATCAATGAAAATTAATTAAATACAAATATTTTCTTACAGCGCAATTAGAACGAAGTTTATAAATATGGAATCTGTCAATGTATCTTCAGTATTCAAAGTTAAGTAATTAGCTTTATCTGTGTTTCTGCTAACATCATTGTCAAGCAAATATTGTAAAACATCTATAGCATTTCGCCGTCACTTTCTTTAAAAAGAAGAGGATGGTGGATGGTACAGGTGCATTACGGGGGTTGGAGTGAGGGGGTGAGGGGGATTGGGATTAATTATTTCATTTATACATATCTACTACACAGTAACACTACCCTCGTATATATTTTACAACTGTGATATCTTCCTATATCAGGATTCTTTGTTTTTTTCTTCAAAATTGACGCGCGTGGAAACCAAGCGGCCTGAATTCCAGATTCAGAAGACTACAAGAGTTATCTCCCTTCAACAAAGATCGGAACAGGTAAAGTCGGTTGTTAGTCGTAGGATTTGTAGCAAGTTCTTTCATATCGGCCATGGTATACTAAAGTGTAGTTTTTTAAAATGTGGGTGGGGATGGTGGGGGGAAGAATTAAGGAAAATGGTGAAAATACATGATTTTTTAAGAAAATGGAAAATTCTTAGGGTGGGGGGTTTCAAAAAACTCTGGATCCGCCACTGAAAACGTATATAATATATATATATAAATAAAAGACAAGAGTCTCTTCGACTTTCCTAGCGCTTTCTCCTCTTCGGGGGTTCATCATGGGAATCGTTATATATATATATAGCCTCTGGAGCCATCTCATTTCATTTCCCTGCATATGACACTGACCGAAAAGGAATATTATAATTTCATATTACAAAAGACGGCAACCTCTGTCTACACATTACGTATGTGATCCAGAAAATTCTATAAACAAAACCTTTTATAATCAGACACCTCCACTTAAAAAATACAATACTGAATCTGTCCGACACGAGTATGAAATCACATTCTTAGAATCTGTGACCTTTTTAAACTAAATTGTCTCAGGTAACATATTTTGTGTAATATGTTAAAAATGTTGTTATAAAACCAAATAGTTACATTTATCTTAGTCCCTGAGGGGTCGGTTTAGACAGGTTTAGTATCATACGGGACAACTTTGTGGGATGACAGGGTTTATTAAATTAATTGGGGTCAATTTAGACATGTTTTACTTTGATTATATTTTCGAATTACGTCATGTAATGATACATTTTGACTCAAAATAAAAATCCTGTTTATTAATGCTAATTATTCTTACTTACTTTCAACATACCTTACACATATTTGATAATATGAATTTAAATTTTTGTTTTGTCTGATAACGTTAGTTTGTTTATCTTGCCGCAGACATAACACTGACTGAATCGGGGGAAAATACAAATGACCAAACTTCACATGTACACAAACAAAAGCGTAGTAAAAAAAATCTGATGAACAATGTTGAGACTGTTTAAAATGCATTGTGTTCAAGTTGCTTAATAGTCCACCTCTTTGTATGGTTTCGTTTGATTAAATACTAGAAGTTAAAAAAACACGTGTTGCAGACACGGGGTCAGTGGGTCGAGTAGTGGTACTCGTAATGTGAAAGTTGAATGAAAGAGGATTGTGGGAAAAATTCGGAACGTAAATAGCTCGTAGTAAAATTACTCACTTCGCCGTGAAAACATTTCTACGGGACTAACACAAAATGTATCTTTCATATCGAAATCAGCGTATTTGTTCTATAACGTATTTTTGTAAAATATATCGTGACAACCCCAAACGAGTGACAACTCAACGTTTATCAAGCTTTTGTTAAATACACACCACGCAAAGGTGTTAGGTCAGTGAATTTTGGCGGGTAATTTCTGTATGCTAATTGGTCACATGACGGCCCGGTTTATGCATATGCAAAAAGCTGACAAATTAAAGCGATTTATTTACACTGAAAGATACATTAACATTCATAATTAATTAGATCAATAAAACATTGGATTGCTGAAAATGTTTATGTCATATAGAAAATATGTTTGGGCTTCATTAAAAAACTTCAGAAGTTGGCCATAGCTAAAAATATCGGTCACTGCCTCGATGTACCGCCATCTTTTCTATCTCGGGATCCACAAACATGGCGCGGTTGAGATTTCCTGGTCGTCCTGGATGCAGGTTTGATCGTATGGGTATCCGATACGGCGCCGATGATGCAAAAAACGTCAAGGATCCAACCTTGGTTCTTGTGGCCAGCATTCACAGAGGCCTGCGACTGTTCCGTGAATTGTTTGGAGAGTCAGATGAGGTAATAATTTGTTATATCGGAACGCTTCGTCAAAATGGCCGCCATCGCGAAAATTCCTATATGGGTTTATAGATTTTTTTGACGGATACGTAATATTAGCGCCTTGATTACACGTCTAACCAAGATTCCCGAGTAGAGTGATCTTTAGTGTAAAAGGTTATATATAATATGTGACTTTCTGATAATTATTTACAATTATTTTTCAATTTGTTGTTACTTGTTGATCGTAACTCTCGACCCAAACATCGAAGAAGGGACACGTTCGTTTTAGTTTGCAGACGTATCTATGGCTGAGAAATATTTCCAGATATTGCATCAATATTGCACACTCAAGAAACATCCCAAAAGCAATCCAACCTCATATGCTGATGTTGTCATTTAGATAAACTGGGACCCCTGTCTAATAAATTGAAATTCATTGTCCTGGGGTGGAATAAGGAAGGACATATAATACCGAAATACGATATATATATATATATTTTATTCCAAAACCGTTCTCTACTCAGTAGGTATATTGATGCCAAATTGCAGTGTGTCTGATACTTGATATTAAAAGCATAGCACGTATAATAATTAATGCCTTCTGTGTTTATCATAATTTTGTCTCTAAGAAATGCTATTATTAATTAAATTAAATGTCAACACTTACAGGGCATGACCGATATACCTGAAACAGGTAATCTCGCCTGTTGATGAAATGCTGCAGTTTATAAATACAGACTGCATGAATTATATTTAAAAGAAAAAAAATACATGTACAATATTAAATTTGGTCAGCAGATTTGTTTTTTCTTTCATATTCTCTCTTCTACTTTGCATTTTGTCTTAAAATGACATCAACATGAAAATTTGAGACACATCTAATTGAACAGTAGTTAAGTGATTTCATTGACACACTATTTGATCGTGTTTGGATCTATAGTACTATTTATGTCGGTGACCATCATTTGCGTTCCGTATCGGACTATCCCGTAGTGCATACCATGGTGTCCGAGAACAACTTGCCCATACGCTTGCAGTCTGAATCAATGACAACGTATGAATACTCTATTTGGCCAATGCATATATGTGCTTTCTGTCTGAAAATTCATACATATATTGATATATAGACTGTCTTTTCTAATCATTTTACAGAAATATGACGTAGTTGACCGTATTTAGCATACTTATACTTATACACACACAGTTTATTTGCCTAGTCTTGAATAAAGGCTATAGTGCCTTATTTTCCCCAAATATCTTCCCAATTTTAATAAAATAATGCAATATTTTCCTTATTCATGTGTTGTAAAATTTAGGTTGAAAAATCACTGACCCATCCTTCCTAAAACAGAGATGTACAATTTCCTATTTAGAATACTAGCCTAAGGCATATGTAGAAAAATTCTAGTAGTCCATCTATATTGTCACAGTGAATAATGAAACTTTTCACTGATCCCGACATAAAATTTTCTAGCCCCAGGCGACAGGCTAGTGGAATTCTACATCCCTGCATAATGAGTGAATTTTGAATGAATGTGCATTTCAGCAACCATTTACTTCTGTATATATTACCTATTCATTTGTAATATACCTGTTCATCTAGCCCGTATACTGTCATTTCACAAATTCTTGCCTTAAAGAATTTTATTTCAGGAAAAAAAAAAGGAAAATCTGCAAAATTTATGTTAATTTGATGTTATTGTTAAGGCTTATAAAATTAATTAATATTTGTTATGAAAACATAGATAATGAGGCTAGTAGTTTATTTTCAAAATCTGCCTGCAGGCTAGTACTTAGATATGAAATTTTACATTTCTGAATTTTGATACTCTAATATCGCCCCCTCCTTCCCCAGAAAAAAAATTTGAGCTCCATTTAAATCAAATTGATTAAAAATGTACACAGTACAAATAAATTATAAGAATAATTGTGTTCCTGGGTTTGCAAGTTGATTGAATTTCAAAAGCCACATTTTAGAAAAAAAAATATTGGTTACTCAAGCTATGATGAATGCTTTTGGTACTATGATAAAAAATATTCATTATGACTTGTTTTACATGAAAGTATAAACACTTGGAATTGTAAAACTAAAACCATTGAAATTTATATTAATATTATATATTCCTCCCTCCAACCAGTAGTAAGAATTAAGGGTAAACTTTCTTCAAAATTGTGAAAAAGTACCTGTAGTGAAATTAAGATACAGCTTGGGATAATTAATGTGAGCTAGATGTCATGAGGATCCACCTTCCCAATATGAATGAAAATAATGCAATATTTTCTCATGCTGTTGTAAAATCTAGGTAGAGAAAAACACTTATTTTAAAAAAAATGGTTATAAAATAATCATGAGTCATTACTGAAATATCCTAGCATTCTTCAAATTGACAGCAATAATGATATCCATAAGCCATTGGTTGCTATGCAACTAAATATTCTGTGAGATTCCCGTAAGTATTCAACTAAATATTCTGTTAGATTCCCGTAAGTATTCAACTAAATATTCTGTGAGATTCCCGTAAGTATTCAACTAAATATTCTGTGAGATTCCCGTAAGTATTCAACTAAATATTCTGTGAGATTCCCGTAAGTATGCAATGGCCAACAATATGTTTGGAATGTCGAAAGTAAGTTTCTTTATGCCTTATTTAATTTCAAAGCCAAAAAGATGCAAAAATCGTCCATTAAAGAAGAACACCTTTTCAAGCGTGCAGCTTTACGTGTTTCTTACTTTGTTGGATTACCCTGACCATATTGATGTTATGAACATTTAGACCTCTGTTAATGTCTGACCCATGATGCAGTTATTTTCCCCTTTCCACAATGAACTTGTCAAAAGTTGATGGTGTATAAGATATAAATCACACTATTATTTTTTGCAGGAGGAGGACTTTGAGGGTTTCACTCCAAAAGATGTGCAGAAATCGGAAAAGAAACTTAAGGCGATGCTGGCGCTATGTGAAGATTCGCCGGAAAAAATTGTCCCATCATCAAAGCCAGCCAGCAGTAGGATTGCTAAGGCCAAGGTCAACCTGACAGCCACTGATCGTGGACGTGGCGTCCGAAAATCTTATACAGAACTTCTAAAGCACGGCATTGTTAAACCATCGAAGCCTTCCCTGTTGAAGCAAGCGAGGGAGGAAACGCAGAAAACCCTCAAAATCAAATTTAAAATAAAAAAGGAAAAATCAGGACTGGAGGGTTCCCCTAAATTGTCTCGTAAATCTCTGGACAAAAAGAGTGTCAAGTTTGATTTGACCCCAAAAGGTCAAGGTAAAGGAAAATCTATTGAGAAAGGAAGTAAAAAAATGGCAGTGGTGCCAGTTAAACAGAAAAAGGGGAAGAAATGTCTCGAAAGGACAGAGGAGGAAACGCCGCGATATGCCAAGAAAAAGGTCAAAGAGAAAGATAAGTTGTCATCAGTTAAGGGATCAAAAGGGGTCAAAGGTCAACAGAACCTGGCTAAGCAGCTACTTCAGAAAGCTCGAAAAGGTCAACAAACTGTCAAAGTGCAAGGGAAGGTCAAATCTCCCATCATGAGCCCCAAGAGCCCTAAAAATCAAGCGTATCCTCGGAAACAGTTTGTGCTACCAACGCAAAGTTCAAGGTCATCTAGAGTTATAATTCCAAACAAGAGATTTTTAGAACAGGACGATTTTAATCAAATTATGACCAAGAGAACACGAATGGAGGAAAGTGCTTTGTCACCCAAATCAGAAACATCTGCTGCCACTAGTCCGAGGTCAAGGGTACAGGAAAGGTTAAAGGTCAAGACTGAACAGCTGAAGTCACCACAATTGACCAGCCTGTCCCCAGGGCCGGCAGTCCCGCACATTCCTCCCGGTCAACTGACCAGCCTGTCCCCAGGGCCGACAGTCCCGCACGTTCCTCCCGGTCACCTGTTTGATCCCATGGAAGGTATGTACACTGTGTTTGGTTTTGGATCAGAGCTATCCAACGAAAAGCATGTTTGTTATTTGTATTTCATTCAAGTTTCTGCGACAGATCGTATGTTTTGAGGAAGTGTTTCGGTATCTTTCTGGGTAACTTTAAGTGCTACATGGTATACTTATATCAAAGTGGCTTCATTGGCTTCCCTAATACTTGTCACATTAAGATAGGTTATCCAGTCAGCTATAGG